CCTCCAGAATCAGTTTAGCTAAGACAGATTTTTCTGGCCTAAGTTAGGTTTTAAGAGGAGGACTTGCTCCTTAGCATCACACAGCTATGAAAACCCTCAGTGGCTGCAGGGAGACACACATTCCAGTAGTGCTGCTTCAGCTCTCTGCTTTTGCCTCTCTTTGGCTGTAGGAGCAATATCCTGCATTACAATATTTTCCAGTCATGCTGTCCCTGCTCTGAAGGTCTCTTGTTTGCCACTGCTCTTTACAACACTATAAGGTCTCTGCAGGCTGAGAAACCTGGAGAAGGGGAATTGTCCTAATTCTGTTTTATTGCAAGGTGACCTCCTAGATCTCTCACGCCTTACCTGTAACCTTGTCAAAGTTACAAGGAGTTATTAATCCAAGTAGAAATCTGGCATTGCTGCTCACCTCTGGCAGCAGTTGCAGCAAATGCTGCTTGCTAGCACCCAAAATTGCTGCAGTGACTCCGGTGGCACCAGGACATTCTCATTTCACCTTGGGTGACTCACCCAGGTACTGGCTTTAGCAGCAGCAGCCTATGCTAGAAACGCACATCATCAGCTCTGCCATCCAAAAACTGCCATTAGGAAACAACATATTCCAGATGTCTGAAGTAAATCAGCAAGCAAGGTGGCCCAGCAGCAGCACAGCAAATTGCTTTGTATTTCTAAATTCTCATCATCAGGTTATTGAGGGTGAAGCAAAATGTTCTGCAAGACCCCCTACTGAAAACAGCAGGAAAATACTGAAAAATGCCTGAAGCCTTCCAGTATGATGGAAAGAGATCAAAATGTTTAAGCATTTCCGGCGCTCCTGTGTATCATTTATATTTTTTTAAAATTTTGCCTTGGTTTTTATGTCAAGCCCTTCAAGCATTTTATAATAATTAAAGATAAAGGAAGAGAAGTTGCTATTCTAGTTTTACAGGCAGGGCAACTGACACATGGAAAGGCTAAAATGGATTGAAAACCATCATACAGTGAGTGTAGAGTGCAGGGCAGGAGATGGCAAAGCACAGATGGCACTTGCCAGTGTAGCAAGTGCTAAAGTCATAGTTCCCCTCAGCAATATATCCCCACAGTGCAAGTTACTCCAAGCTGTCAGATGTTCAAGATACACCTCCAGCTATTTTTTTTAAATTAAAAATATTAAATTTTAAGGTGAAAGTTTAGTATGTGAACCAGCTACAGAGTCCAGACCAATAAGAAGAAAGACTGATAAACCCAACCTTCAGGGCAAAGACAGCCAAAAGGATCTAAGTAAAGCACTCTCTAGGGAAGAAAAGTTATAAAGTCATGCCAATCAGCCGTTTTATGGCATTAATCTCTGCTGTGCTGGGTGGGGTGAGCTCCAAATTGTCCCTCTGCTGTCCCATTCTGTTCCACAGCCTCATTAATGTTCACATTAAAATTGTTTTGCTGGATGTGGTTTGTGTGCTAGTTTATTTTGTAACACTTCTTTCTTCCAAGGACACTGGACCAGTAGAGTAGATGGTTTAGGAAGAGAGGACAGACTTCAAGAATTAAAGAAAAAAAAAAAGAAAGAAACATCAGTTGGAATGGTTTAAATACAGTCAGTCTTGTCAGGGCACAGGGTGACAATCAAATGAAAGGCTCCTGTTTGTACAGCAAATGTCATCAACCCAAACAGCACAGAAAAATCCCAGGGCATGGTGATAAGCTGTTTCTACACTTCTCCTTTGCTCTTTGCTGCAGGTGAGACATGGGTTGGAGGAGGTGCTTCTGCTCTTGCAAACTTCTTTCCTGGGCTGCGATGGGGCCCTCTCCACCAGTGTTCAAGTTCCTCAGTTATGCCCTGCCCAACCACCTTCCAGGCTTCTGATCTTTTAAGCTCTGAATAGCCATTTCACTCAGGCCAGAGCTCCTCCTGAATGACCTGTGCTCTGCAGAGTCTCAGAAATAAAATTTCTTTCACTAATAATTTATTGGAAAATTACTTTATGTGTTTCTGAGTTTGCTTAATTATTCTCTGTGCAAAATGAAGAGTTGTTAGAATATATCTGTACATCTATTTCTCACTCTGCCTCTGGGAGACTGATGTTCTTTAGATTACCTCTTGTTCCTAGTAGTGCAAGCACCATCACCTCTACAGAGACCAGAGGGCCTCAGCCCCTGTAATGTGATTTAGAGGCATGTTTACTCTTCTCCCACTAGACTTGAAAACACAGTGTGCTCTATTTGTCTCCTTCTAAACTGGCTTACACAAACATCCCAAAATAATTCTCCTGACCTGAATGCGCTCAAGTTTTCCTATCTGGTCACATAGAAAATACTTTATTCTTTAAGCAGCTGTCACATGTTATATGCATCCTAAAAAAGTATTTAATGTTTACAACTAAATAGATTTTAAAGATAAATCCTAAAAACTCTTGGTGTGAACTTTTCCCTGGCATGCAAGATTGATCTTGCACAGCTCACAGACTGCTAGAAAAAAATGTTTGTTATTTACCCAGTATATTTATTATATCCTTATATGAGGATATAATAGAAAGCTTATAAACCTTCATAGAGTTTTCGTGATCAAACAGAAATTTTAAACCCCTCCATATTTCTTAGCTGTGGGAAAAGATGGGTAGCAGTCTGTTTTGCTGCTCAATGCTATTCTCTTTCCTCCTACACCCAGTCTCCCCGGGGCTCACATTTTTGATCTGTAGCCAAAAAGCAGTCTGGGAGTAGGGCAGAAGCTATCAGTCAGAAGGGGACGGTCAGCAATTGTCAACAGATAGCCAGCAAAATTAACCTCAGGCAGTGCAGCTGGTTGCAGTAAAGACAGTGTGCATTGCCAAAGAGCAAAGGGAAATAGTGAAAGCTGTTTAAGGGTTGCCTTCTCTTCTACTGAATCAGGAGTTTAATGATGCTAAAGATGAGCAGAGAGGCCCTGTGCATACCCGGGGCAACAGCAGGAGTTTTTTACCCTCTTCTTTTTGATGGGAATTTGTTTCCTACTGGAAAGAGGAGTGCCTACATCCCAGCACAGACCTACTGGCAACCTCAGCATGCAGTAATGACAGCATTTGCCAAAGGGCTCCAAATTAATCACAGCTACAAGTTTCACCTTTGCCTGAAGCTGACACTCAATCTCTTTCTGTAAGTAGTGTAGCAAAGATACCATTAGGGAGTAATAGGGGTAGTAATAGGAAATCTGATTTCTGCTCCTTTCTCTCAGTCTCTTGCTTCCAAAGAGACTTTGTTGCAGCTGCTAAGAAAGGGCCTGGAGCAATGTCACATGCAGCAATGTCAACCTCTCTGCTGAGCCTCTGGAACCAGCAGTGAACCGCTCTGTATGTCGCTGTACTCCTAAGGAAGCAAAGGTGTGCAAGCAAACAGGATCTCATAGCTTATAATACACGAATGTCAGCATGAACCTAAAAAACCTTCCAAATTATCTACTGCATTCATCTCTTGATGGCTAGTTTACAATATTTTGTGTACCTTACATCGCTAGTTAAACAATGATTTACTTTCCTTTATGTCTTTCCTGTATTTGCAACATCCTTAATTTCTCATTGCAATCACAAATATTTAATAACGATTTTTATCTTTTGGGACAATTGTACTTCTAGATCATCAAAAACACAAATGTCAGAACTACCCAACCCTGCGGCCCTTGTCAAAAGTCCCACATCTCTGTAAATACATTCTGGTCCAACACACTGGGGTGTGGTAAGGCCATCACCTTTTACCCAATTAGTAAACACAATTGATCTGTGTGGCAAAGAGAAAAGAGTTTTCCTTCCATTATGCAAACAAATAAATTTCTTATAAACGAGTCTCTCAGGAAGGACTGGTTCTACCTCCCTTACACCATTAGCTTTAATAGAAACCTTTCCATAAGCAACACAAGTTCAATCTAAGCAGCTTCTCAAATCCTCTTGATTTTCAAGTTGCAGAGTATGCTTATGGAGCAGAAAGTGCTCCTGTTTTCCCAAGATTACATCAATGCTACTAATAAAAATAAGCTGGCCAAGATTAATGACATAGGGCAGCCAAGCTACAACCATCTTCCACAGCAGAATGCTGTGCAATATTACATTGCAGCTCACCTTAGGTCTCTATACTGCAGGCTCTATTATTCCCTTTCTCCTGGCAGTGGTACCTTATTTCAGTAGATGTTTTACCCTCCTGCTTTTACCCTGCTGTTTTACCCTGTGCCATGACTTGCCATTTCATCAAGTTTTTTAAGGTAAACACCAGTTTTCCTTTCCTAGTTAACCTTTAAAGAAATCTCGGCATAATCCTGACATTTTAGTGCTTCTCTGAGATCCATTGTGCAACCTGGCCACCTGAGCATGTAGGGCATTCAGAAGAAGCCATTGCTAAATTGCCAGCTTTCTCCTCAATGAAAAATGTGGGAGAGAGAAATCCATGGCATCTGCCAGGGCTGAGGAGTCTGAGAAACAGAGTGGACCCAAAGTCCTGTGGTTGCACTGAGCACTGGACACTCCTGCCAAGGATTGAAGCACTTGAAATAGAAATTCCACCTCCTCCCAGGCACAGGAGCTGTGCGCTACATTTGATGTAATGCAGATAATAAACTGAACTGGAACTGAAGATTTTGTTCGGAATGCCTGGAACTTTCTGTAACAGTTGATATTTTCCTGATATTTCTGTGGCATTCAGCAACGCAAAACCTCTTATTACTAGATTTCTTCACAATAACTATGATTGTTTTGAGGTCCATCCTGTAAAAGCAAAACCATCCCATATTCTCTGTAGTTTGTGCAGTGATCATTTTACTACTGGCTCCGTTAAAAATTAGCGTTTGGCTCATGGCTGATCCAATGCCAAATATTCCAGTAAATAGCAATAATCAAAATCCATTAAGTCAATGGGCCAGTTGTGGCTTGTTTTCCCTACCTTTTTACTGTTCTGTTTTTCATTAGTAAGAAGGCAGATCTGTTCCACATAACTTTGTTAACATTTATCTGAAAGCTATCTGCTATAGTGAGGCCAGCAGAGTTCCCAGGAAATACAAATAAAGACCAAACCAAGCAACTTTATTGAGACTAGGTTTGTAAATTTGCTTATCTTCTAACTTCTGGTCACCATGACACAGGGCAGATGGCTAAGATTACTTCCAGTCTGATTTGATTACTACTTGTTTTTTGTCTCTTCTGCAAGACAGCACAAGAGATCCCACACTGAGTTAGCTGGAAAGAACCTTGTCCTAACAATCTCACCAAGGGTATCCCATTACTCCATGATCCAGTGTGCTCTCCAGTCCTAGTAACAAAGAAACATCAAAAGTCAGTGTACATGGTAGAAATTCAGGTAAACTGAGCCCCTGAAATATATTGTGTAAATATTATCTATTAAAAATAGAAATCTCATGGCAACAAGCACAGTATAAATACCAACATGTACATTCAGTTAGAGATGGAAAACTCTTAGCAGTTCAGATTCAGGACAGGGACTTAGCATTTAATCCTTAGGCTTGCAACACACTTCACTAGGGCTTCAGGCAAACCAATCTTTTTTTTCTTCCTGTTTTCTATTTCTGCTTCTATTACTCCATGTTTAGTATTTAGGAAGCTCCCCAAATCTCTCTCAGTTTTGATCTGCCTGGTGCAATACCTGCAGGGACTCAGATTCTGCCTCAGGCAGTTGTCCTTCTCTGAAGGAAGCAGGAGCATTTTGGCTGCCAAGACACACTGCAACTTCTTACAACTAACACCAGGAGCTGCAGGGGAAATCCATTGATTCATTCTCTAAACCATGACAGCTGCTTGGCAGAAATGTGTCACACTAAGGTGTGGTGAGGCCAGGGCAGCTCCTGAGGTCTTGTCTGCAGGTTCAGGAGCACCCCAAGATGAGAAGTCCCTAACTATCCAAAGCTCTTGCTTTCTCAGAGGGAGGGATTGGAGTCTAGGCCCTTTGTGCCTTAGAGAAACCAAGGGTGTTCAAGTCTTTCCATGCAGAGGGAAGCCTACCAAAGGAAGTTGTTCATTGAATATGAAAAACTTCACAAATGGAGTAGAAAGTTAAAATCACTAAATGGATGGACTAAATGGATAGACTAAATCTGCTTTATATTTTTAATGTTTTAAAGGTAATGCCAGCAGTGCAAGAGGAAGTAGAGAGCCAGATATTTGTCAGTCACAGTTTCAAGGAGAATAGATGACTGAGAATTTGGCTACTCTCAATTATGCTGAACCCCACTGTTCACTACCTTTTTTCTCAGTTATTCCATTTCTGTGTTACTTGTCTAGGTTTTAGGAGTATCAGACCCCAGTTCAGACTCACCTTGTTTTCTCTGCAGTTTGTCAGTAATACAAAAAGAACAAAAATGGCAATGGCAGATTCAGCATGAACCTTCTGGTCTATAATGAGCACATCTTCAGAGGCAAAAACTTGCAGTGGGTGAAATCCACTTGTTACTTCAATATCTAAAAACATAAACCAAGGGGATGTCTCCCAGATAAATACATTACAATATATAATATAATACAATATAATATAATAATAACAACAACAACAACATCATTTTAGAAGACTAGACCAGACAGGCTGTTCTGAAGAAGTATAAGTGTGATACATAACTCAGGCTGGAGCAGTCTTGGTCCTGTAACTAACCACAAAAGAGCACACTGCTCAGACTCCCTTTCATTCATCCATTTGTATTTATTTCCAAATGAGACCTCTTTGGAAAGGCTAGCTCATGATTTTGCATCCAGTCTCAAGGACTGCTTATAATCTTGCTTGATTTCCATTCATCAAAATTAGTGCCTCACACTAAATAGCATTAGCTGGTTCACCTACCTGGCTACTTTCATCTATCATGTGTCCAACATCCATGGGAAGATTCCTCTACTGGAAACTTCTCATTAGCAAGCTGAAGGGAAACCTCTGACACGGGCACCCAGCTGTTCACCCAACAGTTTGTCCATCTGCAATCAGGCCAGCACAAACTCGAGACTGAGGGCACATTCATATTCAGAGAGAAGAGTCATCTTTTATGGAAGAGCGGGCAATGAGCACTTGTGGATGAGCTCTTGCTGGATGGGCTGCAGACAGACCCTCTGGTCACACTGCCACAAGCAGGACAGGGGTACCCTTGTGTCATGGTTTGACCCGGAAGTACAGTTTTGGGAAGTTATGGTCAAACCAATCAGTGGCCAAATTTTAGATTGGCACCTGGTGTGGCCACTGGGGATGTGGATACGCCTCTGAGAACACACAGGGGTTAAGAGCAGAGCACTCCCAGAGAGACTTCCTCTTTGGAGTCCGGCAGGTGAGCAGATCGGACCTCTCCCCTGCCCAGCTGCGTCTGGGTGGGGGAGGGGGAAGGCCTGCGGCTTGAGGAAGGGAAGCCGGATTGGATTTCAGGACAAGTGAAAGTAAAGGAATTATTTTTTTCTCAGTCACTCTATAAATTCAGAACCAGAAGGATTATGTGTCCACTTGCAGAATAGGTAACACCATGAAACTGAAAGATGGGCTTTGTTCCATCTGAGTTTTTTTTATTTTTCCCTGGTCTGCTTGTGAGTTTAGTGAAGACTCAGCCAGAAAACTGTCCATGGTGCAAAAGTAAATCATGTCACCAAGGACTTCTTATATGAAGAAATCTGTAAAGGGTGAAAAAGCACATGAAGAGTTACAGGTCAAAGCAACTGCAATTTTAAGGACTTGGTGACTGACATATTACTAGGCTTTTGCAGTAATGCCTGAGAACATCAACTGAACACATTTATAATGTAAATCTGGACCCTAACCCTAAGCAGAACAGGAAAAGCAGCCTTTTCCTGAGGTTCCCAGCACATGGGTGGTGCCAAGGAGCAAGATGTGGAGGGAGCGATGTTGTGGCAGTGCCGTGCTCCCCTTGGCATGCCTTTTGCAGTTGCAGTGTCCCTGGAGCTCTAGACTTTGTGGGGCTTTTTTCAACCCAAATTGTAACCCTAAGCCTAAGCACTAAAGCCTCTGAGACCTGGCATACATAACTACAAGAACTCCTTGCAAACCTTTTCCTTTCTCATTTTTGTTATCAACGTGAGAATCTTTCTCCAGGCTTCCCAACACCTTCCCCACCAGTGCAGTCAAGGGAAGTTTTAAACCAGCAGCTGGCAGCTGGACTGGCTTACCTGTCTAAACCCACAGTAAATGACCTGTCCTGGGCCTCCACAGTTTTGCAAGCCAGGTTGATGGCAAGCTTTTAGCTGGGGTGACAACTTTCTGCATTTCAATACTTTGGTGTGCCAGTTATTTAGGAGCAGATGAGGGCACTGAACCCATCAAACTCCTGTAACCCTTTTTTCCCCTCCACACCTCTGTTGTGACGAACAGAAAGGCTTGTTGGTGCTCCAGCATTGTTGTGCTTCTCCAGCTCCTGCAGGCAGGTGGGAAAGGATGAGGAGTTTCCTTTGTATTTTTATTTTTTCATTAAGAAGGAGTCAATCTGTTTTTGCTTGCTTAAAGTGCTTAGTGTGGAAATTATTATCCTCGATCAAATTGTGAAAAATGATGGTGTTATTTTAGCATGCACCCAAAATCCATATTTTGCTTGCTTAGGATGCCCTGTCAGGCACAAATAACCACAGCCTCCGGTGGCTATCTGGAGCTTTTGCCATTGACAACTCTGTAGCACAAGACGTCTTTTCCTCCCAGCTTCTCACGGAACAAGTTTCCCCATTTATCCCTTTCCTAATTTTAAGGCGGGGCTTGGCGTCGCCTGGCGGTGGCTGCGCGCCCGGCTTTTCTGCGAGGAACAAGAGAGAAAAAAGATAAAAACGCGATTCCTTTCCCCCCAGTTTCTTAGTGTAATTTTTAACACTTCGCTTTAAAAGTTCTTAAATACAGCACCAGCCGTGCACCCTTCAAGTGAAGTAAAATACAGCCTGATTTCAGCTGGAATGGAGGTAATTTTCTTCCTAGGTGCTGGCACAGCCCTGCGTTTTGGATTTAGGATGAGAGCGCTGCTAACACACTGATGTTGCTGAGCGGTGCTTACTCTAAGTCAAGGACTGCTCAGTTTCCCATGCACTGCCAGTAAGGAAGTGCACAAGAAGCTGGGGGGACCATGACCAGGACAGCAGATGGAAACTAGCCAAAGGGACACTCCATCCCGAGGAGCACCACTGCCAGTATAAAAACTGTGCGGAATTGGCTGGGCGGGACCAGCTGCTGCTTGGGGATGGGCAAATCATTTGCTGGTGGGTGAGCAACTGTATGGTGTTTCTCGGGATTTGTATCTCTTTGTCTTCTTATTATTACTATTATTATCATTGTCATCATCATCATTATTATAACGTTTTACTTTGTTTCAATTATTAAACTGTCTTAACCCAGGATTTTTACTTTTTTCCCCTGATTTTCTTTCCCATCCCACTAGGTGGCGATGGGATCACCAATATATTTGAAAGGTTGGATCATTCACCCCAGAAGTGGGTCACAGAAATTACCCTCTTCCTCTGCCCAAAGAGGGATCCAAATCCATGTGAATTTGAATATCCCCCTCCTCAAAAGGAGCTTTTGAGGCTATATAGCCATTCAACAAGGAAAGCATTCCACCTCTCTTAAAGAACAGAAGAGTGTCTTTTCTTGTTAGTAATGGGAAGTCATTTATACTTGTCTCTGCTCCCAATCCTAGTTATCTAATTTATGCACAAATGTAAATGCTACCTACAGGGGAGAAAATGACACCTCCTCTTGATGTCTTGTGGGAGAACAGTGCTGCCAGCATAAAACTTGTACAGAGATCAGACTTGTCAGTATCTATGAGACATACTCACATAAACAAATTAATAAAGCCCTTAGGGGGATTTAGGGGTAAAAATTGATTTCTGAATCCTAGTCAGCCTGAGACATAATTGAGATATATCTCCTGCAAAGGCTCAGATGTTGCCAAATCCAAATTTACCTTTTTCACTGTTTAAATAACCCAGTTCCACACACCCCAAACGTCCAGATATTGAAGACTTCTTTTCCCCAAATTGTTATTTTTTCTTTCAAGAGAGGAATAGGAAGAATAGAAGACAAAAATGTCCCACAATAAAAGTCGTACAACAATGTTAAAAACCCCTCCATACTACTGTAGTTTGAGAGACTAGAAGCACTTGAATAACTGGACATAAATTCAGGACTAATCCAGGGATGGTAGCAAACTTTCAGCTTCAGTTGTTACCAGTGAACATGATGTAGAACAGGATGAGCAGGTTGACACAATGTCTCAGGGGCACGGATATGCTAAACTGTAAATTGCTATCTGTGATTTGGAAACAGAATTTAATTACCAAGAGAGAAGAAGGGGGAAAAAAGCTAGAAATGAGAACAAGGTGTCTCATGATTGGAGAGTTGAAGCTCTGAAAGTCTTTTCAGTAGCAGCAAAGAGCCCAAACCTGGAGCTTCATAAATTAGTGAAGGGGACTACAGACTGGACTGAAATAATCCTAGATACCCTTAGTAGTTCCAGATTCATCTTTTTAAACCACAGAACAGAGAGTTAACAAAATCCCTTAGAGGCTAATCACAATGACCCTTCTGTGGAACTAAAAATATTGTTAGAATACCAAAAAAAAAAAATTCAGCTAGATCAAATAATAAGGCAGACAAAGCCAAATTTTGCTTCCAGTTCTTCAGATTTCACATTATGTATGGGTGAAGTTGCCAGTCTTGGCTGTAGTCTGTAATTAATAAGCAAGTTTTGGACCATATCCTTATTTCCTGCATGGTCACATAGAGGCACGAGTCCCCAAAATTGGTGGGAACATTTTGTTAGATCTTACTCAAAAATGCATGCTGACAGCAGTCCTCTATGTCCTGTCTCGCTACTCTTACAAGGAGAAGCCTGTAGTGCCAGACCATGAGGCTGCAAAGCCAGGGAAGCAGTAAAGTCTCACATGCAGGGATGAGAAGGATACCTTTCCTGCCATGAGTTCTTCCTCTTTCTGCCAAAGCAATGCCAAAAAAATGCACTTGAAACATAATTTTCCTAGCACTAGCACTAGGGCACATAGCCAAAATGCGGTTCTCTGAGTTTCTGTTCTGGTCCATCACAAAAAACAAATTATGGTGCTTCTATATTTTTTTTTTTTTTTTTTTTTTTTTTTTTTCCATAGAGTTGCTAGAAAATGGGGGTTTTGTTCCTGGAAGTGCAAGTGTTCTGAAAGATAAAGCTGGTACTGCACAAGCTTCCTGGAACACTTTCAGGTCACTGTAAACAGCCTGACATTTCTTTGAATCAATGACTCGAGATTAATAAAATTTCAGCAGGTAGGAACACCATAGGTAGAATGATCTTGTGAACCTGGTAGCAATCCTGCAGGGATAATAATACCAGAAATTTGTATTTTGCTTGAATTTATTTTCTTTTTAAAAAATATTTCAATAAAAGCAAACCCTTTTACTGGGAAACCAAAATAATCAAGAGATCTGTCAAGGCTTCTTGATTTTCTCTTTGAAGATAAATAGGGTGCTTTTATGGTCATATACAGAGTCTTCTTCTAGGTAACTTCAGCCCATTGGAGACACTGACAGTCTCTGAAAACATCCAAAGGGACAGGAGGCCAGCTTTAATCATTTGCAGATAATACCCTGTGAAACATAGAGAGACTGGGGAGAGTAATTCTACATGAGAAGGAAAAAGTACTGTATTCCTTACAATTACCCATCTTCAAAGGAAATAAAGGCTTTGGTGGTATAAAAAAAATAAGAGTGGTGCTGTAGTTATGCCATATTTGCTGTATCCTGTGTGAATTAATTTCATTCAAGTATGAACTGTGCTTGTGGCTTTCTAATTTACTTATGTTGCTGAACAATTTTCTATAGCGCCTTTTGAGAAGAACTTGGGGTTTTAGACAAATTGAATATTGTTCTCTCTTCCATGGAGATCATCCAGAGGCAGTCAATGACGCAGCTTTTTATAGCCCTTTTAAAATTTCATCTTATTTTTAGAGTGCAGAACTTTTCTTTTTTTTTGTTAGTTGGAGCCTATTCTTTTGCAAAGACACATTGTTCGAGAAATCACAAGTGGCTTCATATAAACACTCAGGAAGGATCAGAGACTGGCAAAGCTGTAGAGACTGTAGGAAAATCTGAGGCTGGAGCATAGCACAGTACTA